TCCTTTCTATCCTTTTTGTCGAAAAGGGAGATGCACTTTTCGCGACAACTCTGAAGCACGCAATTCGGTGCAGTGACATTGACGATGCTTCCTTGTTCCTTTTCTTCTTTAGTTTTCATTTCTTTCATCGGACACGTTTCACGTTTCTGTTCAATCGTATTTGTTTCTATAGGTATATGTATACGGTGTGTGTATACATGCATAAATACACACATACACACACAGCTAAGTTTTGTACGGATCGTTTTACTGCTGTAATCTAATTTTCGTTTCTCGTCTAAATAAATAAATAAATTATTTAATATAAAACATATAATATTTATAAGTATATAATTATAATACTAGTAAGTATAGTTAAGTATAAGTAAACGGTAATCATACTATGACATAATACTTCGCAAATATTGAATCATGGATATGAACTATTAATTATATTTGATGAAAAATATGAAAGAAAATATAAAAGATATAAATTTATAAGTATTGTATTTATCTAATTTTTTAAAGTATTAAATGGTCTAATAAAAAATAAAAAATTAAATTTCATAAAAATATCTTACGAATTTTCAATTACATATTTTGTTATCGTATGTCCGACAGATTTCTTTTCTTAATCATTTGAATTCATGAATGAAAATGTTGAAAATAAGGAGAATTTGTATTATTTAAAAGGAGAACATCGTGCCGACAGAGTTCACAGTCCATGCACTTTGTTCTTCAATACGATGCACACAACAAGATCAATGATGCATCGTAGCCGCACTTGCAATTCACGCACAAGCATTACTCTCGTGGTATCACTCGAGAGAATATCAATAAGTTCGGCGTTTTATATCTAAACTGCGAAAAACGTATCGGCTTCGTCGCTTTTTTTTCTTTTTCTTCTTTCTTTCTTTCTTTCTTCCTTTCTGTTTCCTTTCTTTTTCTTTCTTTTTTTTTGTTGTTTTTTAACAAGAAAGCTACGTACGTGTACGGTGTAGACAAAGACGAGAAAGTCGAGTTACGGTTCGCGATGCAACGAGATTTTTAGGTCGACTCGAGCGAACGCGATTGCATGAATTCTAAAGTTCGACTTTGTCCCGCGCGCTCTTCATTTCGCTATTTTCTACTCTTCTCTATTATTATTATTATTATTATTATTATTATTATTATTATTATTATTATTATTATTATTATTATTATTATTATTATTATTATCATTATTATTATTATTATTATTATTATTATTATTATTATTATTATTATTATTATTATTATTATTATTATTATTATTATTATTATTATTATTATTATTTGTAATTATTATTATTATTGTTGTTATTCTCATTTATTTATTTTTATATTTTATTTTAGTTATACACATGTATAATTTATTGTTCTCAATTTATGTAATAACAAGGAAAATAAAATTAATGTCTTTTAATTTATAGATCGTTGTTTTATAACTATAATAATTACATGGTAATAAAAATGATAATTATATTTATTAAATAATATTCAGATCAATCGAAAAATACGTTTTCCGATTTAATCCAGTCTTTTGTAGCGCTTAAAAAAAAAGAAAAAGTAAAGAAAAAAGAAAAAAGATTATACTAATATAGAACATAATTTATAGATTATACATATAGAGCAAATGTTAACGTTTATGTTTAAAGTATCAATAAATTATAGTAAGATAAAAAGTGAAATAAAAATTAAAAACTGACTCATATGAATTCAATTCGTTTCGTGGCATTGCACAACGCATATTAAAACTTTCGTAATAGAGAACTTTGTGAATATCAACAAATTGTGGAAAGTATATACTATATCTATTGCTTTCTGTTGCATCACATTTAATAAAATAAACGAATATATTGTGCGTATGCGTATAACACAACCACTCCCACTCACTCACTCAACAACACATACATACAACCACCTATCCATTCGCGCGCGTACGTGCACGCACACACACAAACACACATAGAGATACACATACACACAGAAATATAATTTAATCTTACTATCATTTACGACATACGTAGAAATTTTCGTTGTTCGTGGATGAGCTCGTTACCGACGTTAGTTTGCATATATGGCGCGATGCTCGCAAGAATTATGGTCACTGACCTTCCTTCTTCGTTCATAATTTCAAAAGGCCTCCGGATAATGGGAGAGCGGCGCTCGGTCGAAGACTCCGTAGGGCTTCGTGCGTCGCAGATTAAACGTGGTTCATGTAAAATTCAAACGTAACTCCGATATGTGCGCGAAAGTTCGAGTTATTAACTTCCTCGAAGAATGCATGAGATTGGTCGACACGTTTAAATAATGAATTTCAAATCTAATAATTGGGTTCTAATAAATTTCATTTTTTATATTAAAAAAAAAAATACAAAAGAATGACAATAATAACAACAATTTTTTTAACGAAAGAAACATACATTAGAATTTGTTATTTAATTTTTATATGTATATATATTTAATTCTCTACAATGTCATTTAATTTTTAAATCACAAACACATACATATATCTATATTTATATATGTATCTTTTATTTTATTTTATTGATATAAAATTTAATTCATATCCAAAGTTCATATTCAAAGTTTTTAATAGTTCCATATATTAAAACAAATTAAAACTCTTTCATGCTAGTACAATTATATACTATATACAAGTATACATTTATATTATTATTTATTATTTATATTTAGTATAATATAATTATATAATATAATAATATAATATAATAATATATATATATATATATATATATATATACATATAGAAAGAGAGAGAGAAAGAGAGAAATACAACGATCGACTACAAGGGGGAGATTTAACGAATAGTATAATTCCATTAACGAAAAAATTCCGAATAAGCGTTCTAACACGCTTACATTGGGTAGCTAAATGTATAGTACACAGATATATCGGCCGGCTCGTCGTGACTCGACGAAAGTGGAAACGGTTTCAGGGTTAAAAGCCCTGCAGTATCTCGTAATCGGATTGTAAGCCGGCATAGGAGGATGCGGAAAAGTGTCCGTCGTCGTCCGATCAATTACCTCGAAGAGCGGACGTCTTATTGGTCGACCGATATATATATCTATATATATCTATATCTATCTATATATATATATATATATATATATATATATATATATATAACAGGAAGAGAGTAGAAAAATACGGCAATATTCTCGCGCGCTGTGTGATGAAGAAAAAGAAAAAGAAAAAAAAAGTAGAAAGATAAATAAAGAAAGAAAATAAGCAAGAGGACGGGAGAGAAGGAAGAGGAGAACGACAACGAAGAGGTAGGGGTGATGATCTCGAGTATGTTCTTTACCTCAGCGTAGTACGATCACCACTCACGATATATCGATCCTAAACTACGAATCCTTTCATAAACATATGTAGATCCATCCATCCATCCGTTCGTTCGTTCGTTCAGCTCGTTCGTACAGTTCAGCTTGTTCGTTCACTAAATACCGCAGCATCGCGGAATTAAAATATTGATCGAACGCCGTCGCGAGGGAGAATACGAATTGCGGTGGAGAGAAGAGAAACTCGATGGGTCCGCTAGCAGACGAGCGAACGAATACAGAGAGAGAGAGAGAGGAAGAGAGAGAGAAAAAAAAGTGATTGCGGTCCGGCCGAAAACGCGAATGTCAGTGACTCCGTGAACGAACCTCGACGAACTTCCATCGAAATGCTCGAGGGACTTTGAGAGAAGAAGAGAAAGAGAAAGAGAGAGAGAGAGAGAGAGAGAGAGATAGAGAGAGAGAGGCTTTACCTCTTTCGAAAGCTTTACCTCGCGCTTTAGGAATCTTCGAAACGAGCCATCCATCTCTTTTCTCCCACATCCCACAACCATTCTTAAGCATCCATAGCCTCCCACGTGATAGACTAATTAAGCAGAATCGCTTAGATAAAAGCGTCGAACGTGCAGTGAAGAACGTTCAATTAGAGAAGCGTGCCAGTGAGGTTGGTGTTCCTTTTCAAAAGGAAACTTCCTACTCGTTGTCTTTGAAGCTTTTCATTAAACGTCTTCGATGTTTATACCTTTCTCTTTCTTTCTCTTTCTCTCTTTCTCTCTCTCTCTCGCTTTCTTTCTTTTTTCTTCTTCTCTCTCTCTCTCTTTCTTTCTTTTTCTCTCCTTCTCTCTCTCTAGAATTATATCTTTCAAGGATAAACCGAACTCATTTCTTTACTATACCGTATACTATCTACGAGATAAACTTTAAGTTCGTTTAATAATTTTTGATTTCTAATGTTCGTCAAATTCTTTCCTTATCTCTTCACCTCCCTTCCTCTTTATTATACAACCCCATTCACTTATAATCATAACTTTTTTCGTTTTTCTCATATTTAAAATCTTTTGGCTCGAAAATCGATCGACATCATCATCTTCTTCAAAAAGTTTCATTTATTTTCCTTTCGAATTCTAAATGTCATTTCATTCGCATTAACGATGTATTTGTCAGTCTCTCTCTTTCTTTCTCTCTCTCCCTCTCTTCCTGTTCTTCTTTCTCTCTAACAGTATATAAAGACGATCTCTATAGATAACAAACGATAAGGTCGTTTAAGAATGAGAAAGAAAAAGAGAAAAATAAAAGAGAGAGAGAGAGAGCTAACGAGTTTGAGAGGCCTAGCACGATGGCACGTCACGAGGTCACCCGCCGCCAAAAATAACTTCAAACCTGATTATTTTTATTCTTAAGCGCGATATTAGCGAGCTCGCTACGTGCTCGTTTAGCGTTAGAGTTTTGTAAAGGATGAACGAGCGTTTTCGTAATCGTTAGAAAAAAAAAAAAGAAATCTTTTCAATTTACTTATTTAAGTGGAAATGATTATGTCGAACGAAGAGTCCTAGTAAGCTACTTCCAAGCTACTAATCTTTTTACTCGGAAATTTCTCTATTTTTTCTTCCTTTTCTGTCTTTTTATTTTTTGTTTATTTTCATCTATGCAACTCGAAAAAATGTAATATGAAGATGTGTTTGAAGTTAATTCACTCACCTGAAGTTCCTCCTTACACTGACGTTCCTCTTCAAGACTCATCCGTTTCTCGTGTTTCTTATAGTAACGCCTCTTGGCGGCTTGTAGATTAAACCACGTGTACGAGAAAGACTTCACGAATGGTAGGAGGGCCTCAATGAATGGATGGAACTCATCCTGCAAACACAGACAAACGCGTATCATTAATTTCGACATTAAATTTTTGAAGAAAAAACGTCTTCGATGTTAGAGGAAAACGTATTTCTTTCACTTACATGCAATTTAAACAAGATTTTACTCAAATTCTAATCTTTCATTTACAACTATCAAGCTTAACCTTATTAACGATTTACGAGCATTAGTATGAACGATTGTCTTGCAAATTAGTGTTCGATTAAAAAATTATTGATAACGAGTCGCTAAAGAGTGTGTGTATGTGTGTATATGTATGTCTAATTTAGATAGAAAAAAGAAGAGAAGAGAATAACTTGTTTTGATTTACTGTAGCACGTTTCATTATAAAAATGATTTAAAAGTAAACTTTTCGTTTAAATTAATTTTTACTTTAGAAAATCTGGCGTACATAAATATGTATATATAAATGTGCAATTAGAAATATTGAATGAAACAAGATGTTTTTTTTATACCTTTCCACAATTACATATCATATGTATATATATGTATATATATATATAAATATATATATATATATATATATATATATATATAAAATAACACGATGTATTATAAGAGAAAGGAACTTGAGCGAAAGTGAAAGGTTATACCTAATTCGGGTTCCATCGTAAAATTTGAATTTCCCGCGCAGCGTTATCGATAGGGGTCCATAGCGTTCGAATATGTAAGCTTTTAAAAAATCGTGCGGCAAGTGTAACAAGATAATTCAGAAAAGATGAATGAATGGAGAAAGTTAAAAACGAAACCAGTTGAAGAAAAAGATTAAGACGAAACTGATGCAGAAACAAATTAAGAAAAGAATAAGGGTAAAGCGAAAGAATAAAATAACGAAAATAAATATAACGGATGAATAAAAAGAGATAAATAAACAGACGAAGAGAGAGACAAATGATGATGGAAGAGATTGAAAAAGAGATAAAAAAAGAAAAGACGAAGAAGGTACAGGAAAGGAAAGAAAGAAACATAAAGATAAAGTAAGAAATTGCAAGAGAAAAGAAGAAAAGAGAAGCAACGACACCAACCATCGAGTATTCGCAAGCACCGCGACTGTTGTGGCACACTACCGTCTGTCTGTCCCTCCGCTCGATCGGTTGTCAGAAGCACCGATTCTCGTAGTACCCGTGACGATACTCTTCGTCGCGATACTCCTCCGCCACCCTTTCGCAGATCGATCGTGGCCTCATCTGCACACGCGAGCGTCGCACACTCGCGGCCGGAATAACGTGAGTTCCGTCTTTTTTTTGTCGACACGACGTCGTCGACGGACGATGAACGAACGAACGAAAGATCGAAAAATCGAAAGATCGAATACGAACTTGTTATATTATTTAGAGATATTATGTGTGATAGAGACACCAAAACGCGCGATTAAGAAACAAAACAAAACAAAACAAAACAAAATAATAATAATAATAATAATAATAATAATAATAATAATAATAATAATAATAATAATAATAATAACAACAGCAACAACAATAATATAATATAAAACAGCACACACAATTACTTATATAAAAGTATATGTGTGTCTGTGTGTGTTCGTGTATATATTTATATACGAATCAATTCGATATCGATTTTTCTTGATCTCTCGATTCCTAATAACGTCGTTATCCTCCTCGTGTCCTCCTTCTGGTAGACGACAGCAACGAAATCAATGACATTTCCAATGATATGTATCTAAGTACATATGTCGACGGACGAGTAATATTTTTTAGACGACTCCTCGATATCTTCTACAAACCCAAAAGAGAATCGTTTTGTCTATTGTTCACGTTGCTTTGTCACCAGTTAAACGACAGTATGCTCGTACGATCGAGCCTTTAAGAAGCTCGAGTCGAGAGCAAAGCGATGTGTACACGCGTGCGGGATCTTCTTTCTCTCTTTCTTTCTCTTTCTCTCTCTCCTCTTTCTCTCTCTCTCTCTCTCTCTCTCTCTCTTCCGTTATTCGTCGATGTACACTCACACGAGGAAGAAAGAGAGAGAGAAAGAGATAGAACGAGAGTGACTATATACGAAGTCGTTATTTTCAGACAGCAACGAAAATCAAGAACATTAAGGAACATTCGTGACGACGATGCGACGTCATTAAACAAATTCTTTTAAATTATCGAAAACTCAATCCTATTACTTTCTTTCTTTATCGTACTTCTCACGAAACTTCATTTTGCACGATTTATTCCGATCGTGATAAAATTATTGACCTTCAATGAAATCGAAATTTATAAGTGCAACTGACGTGACAAAAAGAAATGATCTTTTTGTCGGTGAGATGAAAAATATTGGAAGATAAGAAAGAAAAAGAAGGAGAAAAAACAGAAGTAGTAAAGAAATAAAGAAAATCCGGGTGTTGCGTTGGGCACCGAATTACACCGAGTCCGAAGGTCACTCGCGCTCTCGATGATCCTCTTCTGTCTTCCCTCTCTCTCTTTCTCTCTCTCTCTCTCTCTCTCTCTCTTTCTTTTTCTTCTCTTACGTTAGCCTATCACTTCGCACCGCACGCGCGCATTAAGATTTCCACGAGAGAGAGAGAGAGAGAGAGAGAGAGAGAGAGAGAGGGAGGGAGAGAGAGAGAAAAAGATAGTAGCAGAGGTTCAAAAACGATTTCGTGCCACGAATTTCGTCGACGTTCTCTCTCTCTCTCTCTCTCTCTCTCTCCCTCTTTCTCAATCTTTTTTAGATCGCTTGGTGAGTCGACAAAGTGGACGATTAACCCCGTTCTTCTTATGCACCTGTGTAACACGTAAATATCGATCGATCGATTCAAATTCTATGTACATACGTACATATACACACACACACATATATATATATATATATATATATGTACGAGAGAGAGAAAGGGGAATAAAGAACCGAATAAGAAAGAAAGAGAAAAAGAACGAAAGGAAAAAAGAAAACGTACCACCCGCACGAATCGAAATGATACCGCGAGACGACGCGTTTACGAAAATACGAGGACGGAGCGCGAGTACGACGTCGGTCGTCGCGACGACACTGAGACGCCGGCCGTCGAGACGCGCGTATCTGCTGGTGGACGCGCGCGGGACGCGCCGGAGGCACCGCGCGCGCCGGCCAGGTACGGCACCCCAAACGTTTATTAATAGACTCTGTCCTAGCTTACTAGATTTGCCCTCGAACCGACGCGTTTCTCGCCTCCCTCTTGAGTTCTCGTTCCCCACCATACTCTACCCTCCTTTCCCATCCCACCATCCTTCATCTCCCTCCTCCCCATCATCCTTCTCCACCTCTTCCTCTTCAGTCTCTCTTACACTCTCTCACTCTTTCTTTTTCTCTTATTTCTACTCATTATTTCTATTGCATTTAGTTATGTTATTCTCTTTCTTTTTTTCTTTCTTCCTTTTTCTTTTATTATTATTATTATTATATATATATATATATATATATATATATATATATATATATATATTTATATATATGCATGTATGTATCTAGAATATTAGTTTCTTGTAATACCTTTAAGTATGTTTTCTACGAAAGATATGGATATAATAGAGCATGTTGAAAGGAAAAAAAATAAGTATTTTGCAAATAATTATATCGAATAAATGAATCAGATATGTATGTATGTCTCCATGTATATATGTGTATTTGAGAAAGAAAAATAAAATAAGTCTTATAATTTAATTTACACAAGAGTGTATAGATGTTATATCCCTATTGCGAGAAAATGTGATATTGTAAATGTAAAAACTGAAGAAATTTTTTACACTTATATTTATTTCATAAGTATTTTTATTAATTAACGATAAGAAATCTGTAAAATAAATGATATTAATATTTTAGTCAGTATAAATAATAAAATGTCAATGTCGCATTTGGTATTTTATTATAAATACTGACCATTTATTTAAAATATTGATTAAATGTTTAAAAACACTGATCCAATAAATAGGAGTGAATTTTTTAGATTAAAATAAATTGAATATTCCTTATACGTATTTTGCACATGTACGTATGTAATCTTATATAAATGTACTAATAAAATTGTATTATGTTATTGTATTATATTATTAATATGTTTTAAATAAATATTGTATTGATCATTATCTTGAAATTATACTTATTATTTATTATTATTATTTAGATATTATTTATTATAATCATTTAGATTTATTTTAATATTGATTTTGACCGATGCATATTATCTATAATTATTTTAATGTACTACCTACGTTAATGTTAGTGTACATATTTTATGCATAAGTACGTAACAATTTTGTAATACTAATCGATCTCGAGAAATTCTTCAATCTACGTGTTATGCCAACATAATTACTGTAGTTTTTGATTTCGACACTGTTTGATATTCTTTGAGGGACTCGTTCCAGAACAAATAAACTCGCGTCGTGTATTCTAGCTCTCCCTTTAATTCATTTTCTTTCTCTCTCATTCAGCTCTCTCTCTCTCTCTCTCTCTCTCTCTCTCTCTCTCTCTCTCTCTATCTATCTATCTCTCCTTCGAACGGTTAGGATCGTTTCAACTTTCATTGAACCTCAATCAACATTAATCGAATAAATATTTGAACGGACGTAAAATTATTACTATTACACAGTTACATCTTAATAAAAATATTTTCAGCTTCATGTTGTTTCAAATATACGAAATATGAATCTTATAATTTTATTAACCCTTAAAAACTAGCAGAGAAAACAAAAATCACATTAATGGATGAAATTTCACCTCAATACGTATATTACTTTTTATGAAAAAGCAAAATCAATGTATTTAAAAAAGGTCTCTTTTATTATTCAATATTAGGTGAAAATTATAAAGAAAATTATAGAGATTATAATTACGATAAATAAATTTATTAAATTGTGTGAATTTTATTAGACAGGGTAGCCACTAAAAGATATGTATTTGTAAAAGTTATTTTTGTTTTATATCATTCAGTTTTTCAATGGCCATATACTTTTCATCTTTTTGGAATAAAGCTTCTTCAATCGCACGATAAATTTCTAAGGGTTTCAATTTTTGTTCTCTCTCATAATCAACATTCCTCTCTTAATTATAAATAAATAAATAAATAAATAAATAAATAAATAAATAAATAAATAAGTAAAATGGATCACTCTGCGGAAAAAGAAAAAAACTAATTTTTTTGCGACTTGTCATTCCTCTTCGAACAATCACGTTCGACGAGGTGATCGTCTCTTAACGAGAAAATCCCAAAGGTTAAGACACTATAGAGTGGAAACGATTTAGAATGACACCGAAGGAGGTATAGAGAAAAGCTTACAAGGAAATTCATTCTCGACACGTTCGAATTCCCACCATAGAGGATTTACTCATTTCTCTTACTATGTACTATTACGAGCTAACAATTTTGAAATTTTTACGTCAGGAAAGAATTAAAAAAAGAAAGAAAAAGAAATAAGTACAACAGGCAATATGAAGAACGGCACGTAATGATCGATCGATAATAGACCTATCCTAAGTTTAACTAACGCTAACGACGAAGGACGAGTAATTTTCTTCCGATTGAGAACGTAAAGAAAGTAGAAAGAAAGGAAAAAAGAAAAAAATGATAGAGATAGAGATAGATAGATAGATAGATAGATAGATAGATAGATAGATAGATAGATAGATAGATAGATAGATAGATAGATAGATAGATAGATAGATAGATAGATAGATAGATAGATAGATACATACATAGATAGATAAATATATATACAGAGAAAGAGAGAAAAAGAAAGAAAGAAAGAAAGAGAGGCAAAAGGGGGCCAAGAAAAAAGAAGGACAAGAAAAACCATTCGCATTGTTACTATCAAACAAAGCGTCTCACGGCGCCACGGTACTCTCTCTTTCTCTCTCATTCTCAGACTATATTAAAAAGCAACGTAAAAAAAGACAATGTAGGTACTTTTGCTGGATAGTCTACTCCTCGGCCCTTTCCTTCCATGCAACGACACGTCTCCTTCAATCTAGAGAATTACTACGATAGAACGTCACGCTTTCGTGAAATAATAGCTTCGAATATTCTTGCATTTAAAGAGAGAGAGAGAGAGAGAGAGAGAGAGAGAGAGAGAGAGAGAGAGAAAGAGATAAAGATAGAGTACGAAAACGAAAGAAAGAAAGAGAAAGAAAGAAAACTCTTTCGAGTAAAAATAATCCGTAGAGAATTCGCGAGATAGCCAATGAGAGAGAGTAAGAGAGAAAGAGAGAGAGAGAGTGTGTGTGTGTGAGAGAGAGAGAGAGAGAGAGTGAGTGGAGGACGTGTTTGTTTCGTCTAGTCTCGAATAGTTCTCGGAGCCGGACATGGTCCAACGAAGTCAAAGAAATGGATGACACGTGGAACGAAGAGTAAGACGTTTGCTTTCGAGCGAAAGAAGAAACTAAGACGAAGAAGAGGATGAGGAGAAGAAGAAGACAAAAGATAGAAGAAGACGTAAAAAGACGGAAGAAGACAGAAGACAGAGGAAGAAGATGAAGAAGAAGAAGAAAAAGTAAAAGAGATGGAGCTGCCGGAGAAGGACGAAAGAAAGAAAAAGAAAGAAAAAGATAGAAAGAAAGAAAGAAAGAAAGAAAGAAAGATGGTAGGCGACCACGCGGCTGCTGCTACTGAAGTCGATCGATAGCCAAACTCCTCTTCGTCTGGCGGGACATAACATAGACACGAAGCGTACGAGCTGAGCATAGACGCGGAAGAACGTGGACTATGCAAGCTTATAAAGGTAAAGAGAGAGAGAGAGAAAAAGAGAGGAAGAATACATTGCGATCCAACGAACGACCTTCTTCTTATCAGTGCTCTCCTCGAGAGATGTACTCCGTATGTCTTACCGTCCCTCTCCCTCCTACCCCTATCTTCTCCTACACTCTACTGTCCTCTTTGCCGTCGCCTCTTTTCGTTACGTTCGATTTTTGTATCCTACGAAACACACTTTCGACCTTGGCTCGACGACTTATTAAATATCGATATCTTTCTTTTTAACTAAACCAAAAAGAGGATGAAATAAAAATGAAGGGAGAGAAGAAATGAATATGTGTGTGTGTGCGTGTGAGTGAATAATAAATTAAATTCAAAAACAGAAATAATGAATTAAGAATACTTCCAATGTAATTAATATTTCAATCATTTTCAAGCCATCAACTTCACGTCCAACACGTAAAGCGTTCCGTCCAAGCGATCAGACCAGAAATAATTACGTTCCACGTTCTCGAACCTCGGCAAACCCCCTCCCCCTCTCCTCGAAAACTTCAAAATACGCATCACCCCAAAAATAAATGTCCCGTACGAGACGCTAACGACCGTTCTAAGTTTGCCGAAAGACGAGAAAGCAAATATCGGTTGTATGACATACATACGTTATCCTCTCTTACCATCTTTCAAAAATTTCGTATTATCGATACCATTTTCGAATTAAGCTTTGAAATTACTTTGCGTACATGTAGAATATTTATGTATGTTATTATTTCGCGCAGTTTTTAAGCTCTATTCTTACAGCTTTTCGTGATCATCTTTTATATCGCGGGAAACAGCTGACGGGTTTGTCAGAACCTCAAGCTACTTCGATCGAAAGACGACGACCACCACACGAAACGATCGAACGTTTTCTCTAACGTCTACCAACTTATGTTTCCATCTATATATAATAGTATATAGATAAGTTAGGTGTTTATTCAATGTGCCGTGAATTACATAAAAAATATATTATGATTATGAGCTTATTATTATGTTGAGTGGATATATATATATAACACTTATGATTTTATTATAATTTATATTGTAATTTATATTGAAACATTATTAGCTTCATTAATTCATAGCAATATTTTTAATGAAACAATTTGTATTCTCTAAAACGTTTCATAAATTTGTAGAACGACAAATGATATATCAGATCTTGTTGAAATGAATATCAAATGAAATGGATGAGCTCACGTTCGTCTACTCGTTTAAAAAATGATCGATATTCTCACATTTAAGTTTCATAATGAAAACGATTCGAAGCTAGTGAAAATCCTGAATACTTTAAACGTAATACGATAACAAGGATGATTACGTAATGTCCCGATTGGTT